TATACATCTCTATCTCTCTCTATCTAGCTCTCTTATATATCTCTACATCTCTCTATCACCCATCTTATACACTATTTGTTTGATAATTTAAAAACGGTACATTAGTAAAAGATATATCAACATGAGCGCGCAAGATCTTACCGTCAGTGGTATCTATATAGTATCTCTATATCTCTACATTGCAGTTTATATTCTACTATGTATAACTTGTAACTTGCATTGCTTTGCATAACTTACGGATGGTTCTCTCTGAACAGACGGCCTGCGATGCAAGCAGCCAGTAATTAACAACCCACAGCTGCATGCTTGCACTGACAGTACGTTATGGTATATAATATATATATACTGTATGTAATAATGTATATAATAATTATGTCCATGTTAATTAAAACTTACACTACTTGTCATCACGTGTGTGCGGTCGCAGCTGAGAAGTTCGAGACAAGCATGTAAACAAAATATGAAAGATGGAGATCTCTAAGCGCACTGTATAGTTCAGGTGTTATAATGAGATCACGTGAGAAAGAAGCCCGTCTCATGGTGTGCCGATATCCCGTTAAAATTACAGGTACCGAAGTGGTTAATTTATTTATACGCACTGTTAAACTATTTCCGCGGGAGATGGCGCCACGATGTTACATTTTATTACTACAAGCCAATTTCGCATTTCGAAAATCGCAGAATCAGAAAGTTTTAGCTTGATTATTTCACACGCGCGTTTAATTCAAATGGACAAAATTTAACATTGTTTCCAAATTGTTAACAGAAAGCTGAAGAGAATTTCCTCAATCTCATAGAAGATCCCTTATCTTATTCTAATACGATATCTCATATAATCGGTCTCTATAGAGATAGATATCTCTATATTATATACTCCTGATATAATCACCAGATCCTTCACGCCTGGCATTACACTATCGAGGAATTCTTTAACTGCCCATTAAACTGATATCTTATTTGATATTTTCGACGTAAGTCAATCTAGAAATGCAGAGAACGCTACTCTGGCTGGAAACCACTGACAAATTTATCACGGAGTTGTTTTATGTATGTTTCGTTCAATTTTGTTTAGTTGAAATGAGTAAATAGTTATTTCTACTAGTACAGTAGGCTGCATAGATGAACAGACATAGAAACAACTAAAACCATAAATTATGCCAACATTTTTAAGCGGTCGTTTCACTCTATTCAGTCAATATCAATCGTTCCAAGCAGGTACGTTGATCCATTTCACACTCCCATAATATCTATCGTACACGTAGTTCACACATACACGCACACAGACAGTGAATAAAGAAAGTGCATGCTCTCACATCAAAGCTAAAGCCAGACGAACAAATATTTCTGATATCGATCTCCGTAAGACAATGGCGAGCGACTCCATCCTTAAGAGAGAACTAACACGGCATCATCATCATCGTCGTCCTTGCACTCGCTACGTATACAAAACTTCACCGTCAAATTAGGTTCGTCACTCGAAACCGGCATTATTTATTATTACATTACCATTACGATTATTATTATTATTACATCCGGGGGGTCTTAGTATTTTTCCGTATGGTAAACTAACGCGTGATGGTAACCTTTGGCACAGACACGGGTTGTTAAACCAAATTTTTTTCCAGCAAATTTTGAAGAAAAAAAAACAAGTCGAACGCGACTTAGTGTTAGTCTAATGCTAATAATAAGCACTATAACTGTATACAAAGTTTCACGTTCATCGATTCGCGTTTTTTTTCGCGGTCGTTTTATTCGGTGACGAGTGGCTAGCGCTGGTTGTTCACCCTATAGCTATTGTACAGCAGCTTCTATCTTCCTCTCTCTCTCTGTCCTCTCACCCTCTCTCTCTAAGTCTCCCCCGCTTTCTCTGTTTCGCTGTCTCTCTCCCTCTCTCCCCATTTCTCTTTGTCTCTCGCCCTCTCTCTCTGTCTCTCTCCCCATTTCTCTCTGTCCCTCGCCCTCTCTCTCTGTCTCTCTCCCCATTTGTCTCTGTCTCTCTCTTCCCCTCTCGCTCTCCCTCTCTCCCCCTCTCTCTTATAAACCTGCCTGTAAGTTTACATGCAATAG